GTTGTATGTTGCGAAATATTTTCTGGCCGGAATATTTTTCGGCGGCTTCAGAATATTTAGGCTGGCAAAATATTTCGACTTGCAAAATTTTTTGGCTTGCAAAATATTCCGACTTGCAAAATATTCCGACTTGCGAAATTTTTTGGCTTGCAAAATATTCCGACTTGCAAAATATTCCGACTTGCGAAATTTTTTGGCTTGCAAAATATTCCGACTTGCGAAATATTTCGACTTGCGAAATTTTTTGGCTGGCAAAATATTTCGACTTGCGGAATTTTCTGGCCTGCAAAATATTCCGACTTGCAAAATATTTCGACTTGCGAAATTTTTTGGCTGGCAAAATGTTTTGCGCTGCGAAATATTTCGAGGTGCGAAATATCTTGAGTTGTGAAATATTTTGCGTTGCAGAGTATTTCGCTTTGCGAAATATTTTAAGTGGCAAAACATTTCGCGTTGCAACATAGCCGGGAGTTGCTGGGCGATGGGAGCCGGGCGATGAAGGTCGGCAATCGAGCGATGGGAGTTGGGAACCCGTGCTCTCTGCTCTCCCCGTGCCGCCCGCTTTCAAAGCTGCAAAAACGGGGGAAGCGGTTTCTTCGGGGGGTTGATGTTGCGAAAAATTTTCTGGTCAGAATAGTTTCCGAGGGTGGAAAAAGATTCTGAGTTGCAAGATATTCCGACATCCAAAACATTTTGCCTCGCAAAGTATTAGTTTCGAAATATTTTGAGTTGCAAAATATTTTGCGTTGCAGAGTATTTTGATTCGCAAATTATTGCGAGTTGCAAAATATTTTGCGTCGCAAAATAGTCGGGCGATGGGCATTGGGCGATTGGAGTTGGGCGATGAAAGTTGGGAGCTGGGCGATGGGGATTGGGAAGTGGGCGATGAAAGTTGGGAGCTAGGCGATGGGAGTGGTGGCTAGTTTGGCGATGCGAATTGGGCGGTGGGCGGTGGGCGATTTCGCAAATCGCGAAACTTTTGGGGCGTTTGAAAACTGTAAAAAAATTTTCGGCGTGGACGATTTTCCTCCCCGTCGCAAAATTTTAACTTCCGCAGCTCAGCAATAGGAGTTATAGTAGCTCTGCTTCCCTCGATGGTACCAAAGCGATGTTCGATCTCTCGTCAACCTATCGGAAAGTTCCCGTTTACGATTCGAACTCGATCGCAAGGAAAAAACAAGAAGCGTACATTGTCGTGTGGTTCGTCTTCGTTTGTGATGGCCCGCACGGATATTATAATTAAGTATGTGCTCGACTGTTCTCAGCACACTAATCGGTCCCGAGAGCTTCGGTTTCAGGTCGTGCCGGAAGGTAAGGTAAGGTAAGGTACAAAAAATGTCCACCACGATGTCGTCCACTGTTGATGTTGCTTTCTTGAAACAAACGATTGCCAAAGGGCAACAAAGCCGGTCGCTGACTGGCCACGTTGTCCACATCGTGCCGGAGAAAGGCTACGGCTTCATCACCACTTCCACAACTGCCGACGATGACGAGGAACGTGCCGACTACTATTTTCATTTCTCACAAGTGAAGCACAACACGCACCCGCATAGGGGCGACTTGGTGTCTTTTCATCCAGCGCCCACTCGTAGATCAGGCAAAGGTCCGAGCGCTACATGCGTTCGCGTATTGGCCCCGGAGCAGCAAAAGCAAGACACAATCGAAGTCCCAAGAGCACCCGCACCAAAAGCAGTAGTCGGCGAGACATCACGATCAACGGAGGCGAAGGTTATGGAGTTGTCGCACACGGTGGAAATTTTGCAGAAGGCGAATGCGAAGCTACGCGAGGAGTTCGAGGCGCTCAAAAAAGGCCACGAGTTGAGAATTGCACAGGTCGAAGCCCGGTCCCTGCGAAATGAAACGGATATCGAGCTGGCCCGCAAGGACAATCAACAGCTCCAACAGAAGCAGCAGCAGGACCTCGGCGAAGCGATTCGCCACGTGGAAGAAGTCGGTCAGAAAGTTACGAACCTCCTCGAGACAAGTGTAAAGACGCATTTGGCAGAGGCCTTGCAGGATCAAGCCAAGAACATCACAAGCAACATAGTCCAGCAGCTCCAAGCTGCAGGCATCGGCCCCAACGGCAACCACCAGCAGACCCAAAAGGAGACGCGGCGCCCCCCCGCCGCGCACCACGAAAACTCTGGCGGTGGTGAGGCCGCACAGGTGACGACTCCGCGTCGCCAAGGACAGCAGGCGAACACTGAACCCACTTCCGGTTCCGTTGAACAACAAACGCAAGAGCAGCGCCGCCTCGACTCTCCGTCGTCTGGACAGAAAAACGGCCTCAGTCCATTACAATCGGGTCCGTCGCTGTCTCGAAAGAAGTTGGCGAAGACACAGGAGGGAAAGAGACTAGATTTCAATTATGAAAACACACCCACCTAGCAAGATTTGCTTTGCATGTTCAGTTCACGTTGTTGTTCATTGGAGGCTTTGTTATCCATTTTTCGAGGTAGGAAAAGGTATAAGTAAATCCAAATTTTTCGAGGTAAGTTAAGGTAAAACGTCGCTCGCTATTACTCGTTTTAAGGTTGGTCCAAGGCTCCCCAGTGCAAGTTTTTTGAAAGGTTTGTGTGGTAGGTTTATCTTCACGTAGGTAAGGTCCCCCAGGTTTCCCTAAGGTTCTGTTGTCTGCTGAAAAAGGAAGAAATTTTGAACGAAACGCGAACACTTCTCATTTTACGACCGATCCTGGAGCTGCGAGTGCGTTGTAGCTTCAGTTTCGAGTCCGAGTTGGGGGGCAGATAGACGCCCACCACTCGATCCTTCCATGTCCATGTCCATGCCATCTTTTCGTATCATGTTCATGTTTCGATGCGGAAGTTTTCTGTAAAGAGAGAAAACGAAAACGAAAAGTGCTGAGTCGACGGGTTCGCATGTTCATCGACGTTACGTTGTCAGAGAGAAGACAAAATCGCAGTGTGTAGTTGTGCACAAAGCAGAGTTGCAATGTTGCCATTTTCACCCAGTTTTAGACAACGAAGTTGTACTTGATTGCAAGTTGTGTAGCCGTTCTTTTCGCATGGCGATGGCGGAGTAGTACCTGCAGAGCTGCTGTACCGTCAGTCAAACTGAGTTGTACTAAAGGAGTAGATTTTCATTTTGTAAAAAAGGAGAGCTGTTTATAGGAGTTACAGAATGACGTGTTCTTGCGCCGGCTTTTTGGACGCGGTTCGCAGGCACCTGTCCGAATTCCTCATTCACATTGGAAACGAAATATCGCCAGATTCCCACGATGTTGAGCCACGGCAGGAGGACTTCAACCTCTCATCTTCGTCCCTTCTTGCTCTTGCATCCGAAGAACTACATGTTGGGCCACAAGAAGATCCCGAGGCTCGTCTCGCTCCAAACGTCCCGCGTGGTGCAACTACACCTGATGAACATGTGGAAGCGCCGTCTGCCCCCGCAGCAACGCAGCCGCGCCCGCTAGTTGAAGATGTTGAATCTGGCCCTGCAATTGTGTCAGTCGAGGTCGAAGGAGTTGTGCGAGACGATGGAGCGATAATTCCAGCGCCGTCTACAACGACCGGATCTTATTTTCTGGATGAAATGTTAACGTACGTTTTTCCGATTAACTGCGCCAAGGCCGCTCTTGCAGACCACATCCGCGACGGAGTTGGTGCTGCTCTGCCCGAGGACAATTCAAACGATGTGGAAGTAGTACCCCTGGTCTTCAACGTGTTCGGCTCAACCATGCTCGTCAGTGAGCGGAGCGAAGACGGTCTGCCGTACGTCGACATCCCATCGTATTGCTCGACGACCGGGCGGGCGAGACGCGTCTACGCGGAGCCCGGGGATGAGAAGGAATACTTCCTGTTCGTGTGGCGTCACGTAGCCAACATTCTGCTGGACGACCTTCTCTCGGACTACTCGGAAGCTCTGTCCGCAACCAAGGGCGCGGTGCTTATTGCGCGCACACTAAAGAAGAAAATGCATGGCGGGGTCCCGATTACGGAAGAGTCCGGCATCGAGTACTATTCTGCTGAAGAAATTGATGGCTCGGGTGAAGTCCAGAACGCGCTGGCCTACTTGCAGCTCCCGTCGCAGCCACTGGTAACGGCTCTGCACCGCCTGAACAGATTTATTTTCAATCCGGACGTTCTCGAAAAACGGCTCTCACCTGCGACATACGCTGTTTTGCGGACTGTTTTAAAACTTGTTCCCGGGGCACCCACACCTTTTCCTAGAATCCATCCGGGCGACATTGAGCTCACGCTCGATGGAGCCTCCGGCGGGCGGCGGGGGCCTCGATGGTACTGGCACTACGAGTTCGACGACGTGGATTATTTTCAGCGGCTGATGTCATTGCGTTCTCGGTACAACAAGGCGACGGGCGGGCCGGGAGATGCGGCGCATGGTGCGTTGATGAGGATGATCCAGATCCACCCGGAAAGCAGTGTGAAATTCGGTGGTGAACGAGGTGGAGTGCACGGAAAAATCGAATCGCTGATCCTGTGCGAGAGGTTTCGCGAACATGTTCAGGCTGCAGACAAGAAACTGTTGTGGCGAGAGTTCCTCCGACAGGCAATACCCGAGAAAACCCGCGATGAAAGCTTCTTTTCATTCTGCTGCTTTCAGCCCTTCGAGTGCAAAGTACAGGGTTTTCTAAGCGAGGAAGCTTTCTACACGGAATGTCTCCCATCTTCGACCGAGGGATGTGGTGGCTCATCATCTGGCGCCGCTCACATCTCGTCTTCATCCAGCTCTAGTAGTAAGTCCTCAAGAACATCTTCATCAGCCTCCTCAACAAATTTGGGTCAGAACGAGCGGACCGCCACCTCACCTTCGTCAACATGCAGCGTTGCAGCGACCTCCAAGCGTTCGTCCAGCAAGACCGAATCCTCATCGAGCACCACTGTTGGAGAGGAAGAGGACCTGCTGTGTCTGATTTGTTGCGACAAGAGAAAGGAGATCGCGGTGTCGCCATGCAACCACTGGAACTTCTGCACGGCGTGTTTTGTGAACCTGTTGGAACGACGAACCGATGTGAACGAAGACACGCGGAAGCGCGAGCGTGAGGCAGTGGAGGGTTACCACGTCCGCCGGGGAGGTGCGCTGACCATGTCCAAGGACTTGCAGTGCCCCCTTTGCAGAGTCCCTGCTAAGGGATGGCTGCGTATCTTCGGTTAGTGGAGAGCAGGAGGTGGTCGAGGGGAGAGTACGTACTTGTGGTTAGAGCTGCTGTTTGTGTTTGGTCTTCCTGTGTGTATGATTTTGATGGATTCGTTTCAGATTTAGCTGGAGGTCATAGCCCAGTGACTGGACTTCTCAATTTTGGAGTCGCAGTAAATGCAAAAGTATAAAGCAAGAGCAAAGATCAGGGAATGATAAAACCAACAAGTGTAAAAGCTGGACTATTGCAAAATGGTGCAGCAATAGACTACAGAAGATCGCGAGCTTTATCGCTGAACTATTTTGAGCTTAATTTTGGTTGAGATGTGGATACTATGCCTATTCTGCGTGAATCAAAATATACTTTATACTTCGAATCTACCTGGTCGTTCCGTCGGCCCTGGTGTCTGGCGGACAAATCGCACCAGTCTTGCTTGATGCAGTTCAGGACTAGGTTAATGAGAAAAAACAAAAAAATGTTGATGCAAATTTGCGGTCGTGAGGAATTCCTGAATGCACAGTCAAGCCTTGTTTAGAATTTTGATTGTGCTGCCATGTAGCAAGGGATTGTCTTCGTCAATTAAAGTTCGATGGTGTTCGCCCAGGGAAGAGACGTTACATCTCCATCGCCCGTACATTAAGTGCATAGTTAAATTTACAGTAAAAAAAAAACGCTTGCACTAGTCGCGGACGCGCCACACTTCTTTCACCCAAGACCATAAAAGCGAGAGTTTTAAAGTTAAACTAATTTCACCGAGGATGAATATTACAGCATACATCGGAACGAATTAAACCACCAAAATGTCGCCCCTTCGTGGCAGCCGCGGTGCTTGGTTCAGGGGCTGTCGCGTTGCGTCCTCCGAAGGGAAAGTGGGGGAGAGACACGAGCGGCACAGGAGAAGACGAAGACGCTGCTGTGCAGAAGAACAAGCCGGTTGGTGCCGTGGGAAATGACCGCGGCGAAACCCGTCAACGCTGGCCTGACATTCGGCAGTCATCTTCGCCCAGCGAGGGATTTATGCATTGCAAAAGAAGCACTGATTCGTATAATTGCATCACAAATTTCCTCAGCATGAGAAATGAAATTTGTAATGCGGATTTAGCTTGAGAATAAGATTTGTAATGCATGTTTGCAATTACTACGAGTGCGATACTTTTGCACAGGATAGGACTCGTCAAAGGACAATATAGGATGGCTGACGGTAGCGTGATACACGCTTTCCGCGCTCCATATGGATGTGTCAGAGTTGAAATCGACAAAGTTGAAATAATTTGCCATGCATAAAATGGATGCCAGTTGGAACCCAGTTTCGAAGTGGCGCAAGACAAATTTCGGCGGTCCCTAAATCCACTTTGTCATGCTGTTTAGGCAAAGCAGAGCGATTTTCTCATGCTACTTTAGCAGCTCGAGCTGTAACCCCAAACAGGCTTACAATCGGCCTCACTTGCCTGCTCTGCAACACACGTGCCTCGGGTCATGCATTTTACGCATTACAAGTTATTTCAACTTTGTTGATTTCAACTCTGACACATCCATACTCCATCCTCGGCGGCTGGGCAGGAGCCGCCGGCGCAAAGAATAGAGATACCTTACGGAGCACAGACTATTCCTGGCTGGCTGCTTCATGTTGACCAAGGACAGTTTCTGAAGCAGTTGGAGCAAAAAGAACACCGGAAACGTTCCTATGGGGAATTGCTACTACTACTATGTGGAGAGCAGAGACGACAGCAGTTGCAGTGCCGCCAACAGCAGTGATGGATCAGAATTATAAATCTACTACCGTCTAGCTGTTCTAGCGAGTTTTCATACTGCCCCCCTGAAAATAATCATTGATTGAAACGCTAAACCCCACTGCCCAAAGAGAAGAAGGAGAAGACGACGAAAAGTTGTTCGTTGCTTTTTGCTTGAGCTTTTCCACTCAGTGAAGATCTGAATGTAACAGATGGAAAAAAAAAACGATCCCCGACCGCCAGTACTCTACTACACCAAACGAGCACAAATGGACACGCAGCACGCGGTTTTGAATTATAGTGGGTGTCAGATGAGATGAGGAGGAGAACTACGGCGAACTCCGTGAATCACGAAACACGACAAGAGCATTTCAGATGAACAACGCGATCCTGTGTGAAGACGGTGAGTGTGTGTAATAAAAGCTTCACAAGCACAGGAGTGCGATTGAAACAAGTACTAGGCACTTAAGTCAACACAGAAGGTCAGGTATTTTTATTGATGGACCTCCACGTAGACGTACTTGGCCACCTGCTCCTTTCTCAATTCTCATACAACTCTTCCTCCGTCCTCTCGACTTGCTCTATCGAGATAAACGCAACGTAGAGAAGAAAGCATGGCCCCCTCGTCTTCGCAATCAGTTTTCCTCGACGTCGGAGGTGGACAACTCGGGCCGCACCGTGCTGCATTGTCCGCTTGTGGTCCTCCAACCCGCAGCGCGTCGGGCAGGACTTCATCGAGGATGATGTTGATGCGCGGGTCGTCTTTACTGCTGCTTGTCCTGAACGATCTCACCCATGTTGTCCAAGCGCTGGACCGTCGTGGCCGTCGTGGCGGCCGGAAAGACCTCGACCCCTACAACATTCAGCAGGAGATGTTGCAGCAGGAGGAGCAGCAGGCACAGAAACAAGCCGCGTCCGCTGGCGCTGAAGACCAGCTGGACCGGGACACGCTCGACGACGAGGCGGTTGCGAAGGTCGCGGAAGAGTTAAAGGCGCAAATCGAGACCGAGTTGCGGAAGCAAATGAAGGACAATCTGGGTGCTAATGGGAAGACAGGTTCTTCTGAGGCAGGACCAGGAGAAGATGAAACTGCCTATGAAGACGGCGTGGAAAATAACAACTTCCTAGAAGAGGAAAACGAAAACGACCTGTCGGGAAATACCAGTGCATCCGAAGGTAGTACAACTGTCCGCACGGACAAGAACAATAAACACCGACAGCGACTACAGGATGATGCTGGCCAGAATAATGGAGCCGGTGCAGGCGCTGCTGCTGAGCCTGATGGTCCAGATCCGGAGTTGGTGAATGGTGCGATTTTTGTCGCCCTTCTCTGTGTTTTCATCGGCTACGCAATGCTGAATAACGGGAATGCGGCAAATGGCGCGCAGCGTTTGGGCTCGGCGGCGGGCGCTGCTGGGGGCGGGGCTTCAGGCGCGCAGAGAAACCATGCGAGTAGCTCCGGAAAAAATCTGCCGAACAATAACACGCAGCAGGATCACGCCGCAGCGATTCGCGAACAGCGGCTGAAGCGGTTCCAGCAACAGGAGCAGGCGAGTGCGAGTGCAGGTGGGGTGGAACTACAGGGGTCGCACCAGCAGAATGTTGTAGCCACGACCGGCACATCAAAGTCCGCGAACAACCCAGAAGCGCCAGCACAGTCTCCCCCGTCAAGAAAGGGCGCAGACAATGTTCTTAAGCCGGCTCCACCAGCATCTCGTGGTGGTGCAACTGCAACCGCGGAAAAGGCGAAGGACATCCAACTTAAGTCAACTGCTGGTGAAGAATCGCAGCGACCGGAAGTGAAAAAAGAAGAAGCGAAAAAACTGCAGCCAGTGGCGCCGGTAGATACCAACCCCGTCGTGAGCGTGAGTGAAAAAGCCCCAGCAAAGCCAAGGGCAGCATCATCTCCTGAACGACCAGCGGGGGTCCTAGACCACGTCAAACAACCATCAGTAAAGGAAAAGGCCACCAAGAAACCGTTGAAAATTTTCGTGACCTGTAACTCCCAATTGTCCAAGGCCGTCGCCGAACTTTCCCCAGTTGAAAATTTCCAAGAAACGCCGTTCGAGTTCCAAGACCGCGACACTGCTACCGTCGGGATGCTGAAAGAGAAGTTGTTCGAGCGCGTGATCCCTGCGGAATTTTCAGCGGAGGACGAGCAGAACATCCTGCGCCTCGCTGGGTTTCCACCGGAGGGAGGAGCGGGAGGTGCTGCCACGACTTCGGCCACTGGTAGCCCCACGAGCGAAGTAGTGCCGGCGACGAAGAAGCTGTGTCTGCTGTTTCGGGGGCGCATCTTGCAGCAGGACGACAAGTTGCTGGTGGATAGCGGCTTTGGAAAATTCGGCGAAGACCGAGTCATGTTTATGTACCGATAAAGACGTTGTCGATTGCTGTTGTTGGAAAAGCTCGTAAAGACGACCAAGAAGAACATGAAAAAAACCTTTGATGACGACGTGAACAGCACATACAGGAGCGCCGACGATCGCTCTGCGTCGATGCTGTGTGCGTGCTGTTGGTGGTGCTAAGAGACCTCCTCCTGTGCTTTTTATTCAGCATCAACACCACTTTTGTAAACGAAACATAGGCTGCTCGAGGCTGCTCCGGTGAGTAAAAAAATCTTGAGTACTTAGCAATTGTAAACGTGATGTTCGCACAGCTAAAGCGGTGACAGATACGAAAAGGCTCTCGCAAGTTGTACGGAGAGCGAGAGAATGACTCCGTACTACGTCATCACAACGCATTCGTCAAAGAAAATCGGTCCACCTTCACACGTGAGAAACAGAAACGAAATTTTCGAAGACTAGTATCGTTTTTGGGTCGTGGCGGGATTTGTTGTACGTAGTGCACTGAAAGTGTGTTGTGCATTGGTCTCCCAAAAGCGATTTTACATGATGCAGCGACCCGTGCACCTCTATGCACAGATTTACGCCTTGACATGCTCAACATTCTTTCGCTTCGCCACCAATACAACCCCATTGAGGTGGTCCGTCGTCCGTAGAAAGCTAGTGAGTGAAACGATAATATTTTCTAGCTACTTAATTGGAATTCTGTATGCTGTGGGTGATGCTGGAGCTGGATGCGAGCGGGATACAGGAGAGAAAATAAAGTATATACGTATTTGAAAAATCTTCGTCATCGAGGACTGAAAAAATGTTTTGCTGCTACACATCCGCACACACGAGTTTTTTATGCTGCATTTCTACGTGAGCGTGAGCTGAGAGAGAACGTCTACGAACCGAACTTCCAAAAAAGAAAATACCCCGCCGCGATCTGTATAGGAACAGCAACTCTAGATTTTTTTTTTGCACTTACTGTCGAGTCGGAAGGAAAAGTAGACAAAAACTACCCAGCATCATGACGTTGGGTAAAAGTGCCTCCACGGGGGCGCTCTCAGCAGATCCCAAGCTTGACGCCTTGAAGAGAAAATACGCCAACGCAGGACCAAGTTATTTCAAGAACTCAGCGGTATAGTTGTCTTCTTTTACTCTTTTGTACTTAACTACAACTAGAGAGATGCAAGAGGGAATCAATCAGAAAATTATGTCATGGCATCAACTCCAACAACATGTCACGGAATACTCTTTGGTTTTGTGACAATGAGAAAAATGAAAAAAACTCAAACTTTCAGGTCGGCTCATCGAGGGGATTCTTTCAGACAGCGGGCACAATATTGGCGCGACCATACAAGACGGGCGCCGTGCCAGCGAAGCCGAAATCTGGTAACCTCGGCCAGTCCGAGTATGGATCACAATTCGGGCCAAAAAGGTATATAGGTTTTTTGTTATGCTAAAAATTTTCACTTTGAACTGAAGTCGTTGACGTTGTGGTCGTAAAGATGTGAACCACGTGAAGAGACCTTATTTTGAATTGCTGACTTTGCATGAGAGATACGAGAGAGAAATCTGTCAAACCAAAAAAAGGTACTGCTATTCTTCCATGGACAACAAGCCACTGACGAAATACGACCCGATGGCCTACCGATCGCGAAACGCTTTACCGGATATCAAGTTGCGGTATAGTTGTTCTGTTCGTATTTATGCGATGCAGCATGTTGCGCATGAAAAAGTCTTGCAATCTTAGTTACTCACTGTCAATGTTTATCATGATTTGCATGGCAAACCTTTGGTTTCGGAGCAAATAAACGGCACCACACGTCGACTAAAACCTTCACCACAGGGCGAACAACAGTAGTACGGTGGACTTCGATCAAGGGCTCTTCGTGGACAAGAAACGGCAGTTATGCTTTGCAAAATTATCGTACTCGTATTGCAATCACGCATTACAAATTTTTCCTCAAGGTGAATCGGCATATACAAATTTCATTTCTCATGCTGAGGAAATTTGTAATGCATTTCTGCGAGTACGATTACGATACTTTTGCAATGCATAGCAGTTCTACACCACCAACAGTCAGTACCTCACCGGCGATCCGGTCACCGTCGTGTCTAACCCCGGTATCCTGGCCGATCAGTACCGCATCCGCAAGGAGCAGCGGGCGAAGTAAAGATGAAGTATTTTTCGGGAAATAAGATGTAGTGAAGGGCGAGTTGTGCGTTTAAATAATCGATTCAACTTTCGCAGCATCAAAACTATTCGAAAAAACAGCAAGAGAAATATTTTAAAGTTTTGGATGACACACAATACTAGAGCAGAAAAGGAACCGTTTTCAGTAGTTAGACATCAGACACAAAGGACCGTTTTTAGCTTACATCATCAGACAATCAGGTGGATATAGAAACCGTTTATCAGACGCAGAAGTAGTAGAATTCGAGATAGTCAGACAGCAGACAGCCTGCTGAAAACTAAGATGACTGCTAGCGCAAGGGCAGGAACAAGGACAGATGTGCTGCTAGCACTTCTAGGGTAGCGACAAGATGTGCTGCTAGCATTTCTAGGAGCCGCTTCTTTCATAGCCGGCATCATTGCACAGGGCGCTAGCAGCCCCGCATCAAGAGAAGTTTACAGTTTCCTTGTTTAATATACAACCGTTTTTACAGAATATAGCACCACCTTGATTATTCTTTCTAACGCTAGTCGTGTTTATACACAAGAACTGGTAGTAATAGTTTGTCGCAAAGTTTACAACCGATTTAAATTTGAAATTCTTGCTAGTACCCACTTTTCATCTAGAAGTTCGGCCTAAATTTACCACAACCTGTACTCTATCGAAGAACTTGAAACTAATAGCGCATGCTGGATAGTAGAGCGGGACAACATCACCCATTTAAAGGACGATCTTCATGCGGGAACGAACCACCAGCACGAGCTTTTTGTGCACAGGTCGTTGGACGACAGGGAAGTAGAGGTGGCTCAGATGTTGTGGTGTGTGAGTTTCAATGTTTGGTCGCTAATGAATCTTGACACAAAATTACCTCCTGAGGATAAAAATTTCGGGCTCAGTCAGTACCGATGAATAATTCGCTCGAGTACAATAGCAAGACTGGAAGAGTTTGATGTTACCAAATGCTGTGTACAAAGACGCAAATACTACAACGCAAGAACAGCGTCAGGAATGTTCTTGCCTGACCTGTTTCCCTTTCGCGGATGGTGTAGGACTTCTCGCTGCGGCTGCAGGTTTTTCATACGATGTTCAGGCACAGGCTCAGCCCTCCCGGATCATGCATTCATTTCGGAGGTTGTAAAGGATGGTCTTGCGCGAGTTAAAAATACTCGGGTTTAGGGTTGGCTGGCCTCGATCCTATTCCCGAGCGTGCCGATCTTGAAGTCGATTGATGTGCGACATTTCGATGACAGACGACAACAAATAGAGTTGCTATTCGATCTCGACCACAGCATTCTGCACTACCCCATCTTCGAATGCTGCATTAAACGATAACGAGGACACGCCCCAAAACCCCTAGCAGCCCTCCCCTATGCTAGCAAGATGATGATGATGATGATGACTCGAGAGTTGAGTTGTTATTTTTTACTTCTGTCTGCACGAGGCGAGCGTCGAGCGAATGTCTCTTGCTTCATTCTACCAATAGCAATACCAAAGGAGATGGAGAGAGCTGCGGGAAAAAAAGCAGAAGATGGGCGCCCGGCCGCGAAGTGTTGGCGTTGGCTGCCGTCCCGTCCGGGTATGCTCGCAGAATTTCAAGGGGGAGCTTTTAATCCGGTACCGCCGGCGCGTTTCCCGACGGCGACGCGCGCAAGCCTTACCAGAGCGGCACGCATCAAGCCGACGCCGCCGCGGCGCCCCCGAGCGAAAATTGGGCAGCGTGGTGCGTGGCGCCTGCCCTTTTATCATATTACGAGCGCGCGAAGAGCGCTGCTCCTCCCGCCGCGCTCGCTCGCCGGGGGCGCAGTGGGTGCCCGTCTTCGTTCAGGCCGCTGGTTGTCTGTGTCTTGTCCGCGCGCTGGTTGGCCGCTTTTTGCTGCCGATGCGGGTGTCCCGCAACAGTGGGCCCAGTCCGGTTCTGTGATCCATGGCACGAGTGCGGAGCGGTTGCCGGTTAGTTTTCCGGAGAGGGGCGAGCCGCGGCTGTTCGCCGTGGCCCGCTGGCGCCAGCGAACAAAAGCCAATGTGCGCGGTGGCAGGCCTGCCAGCCTGCCAGCTGCACGCAAGCAGCGACCGAGCGTGGCCTGCCCGCGCGTTGATCCGGGGGCGCGCGCGTTCTCTCGGTCCCAGCAGTTTCATTCGAAGTATTATCCAGTTCATGTCTTCTGTTTCCTACGCCAGAACCACGTTCGCCGAGGTTTGTTGTTTGTCGTGTTTTGTTCTCGCGCCAAGGATACCAGCGCTCCTGTGACTTGTGCCCAACAACTGTAACTGTGGTTCCTAACTGCTTGTTGGTTGCGTAGGTGCATTGAGTGCGCGCGGAGCGGTAGCTGAGTATGAGTTGTTTTCTGTCACGTACGATTCTAGCTGCCAAAAATAAAAACCCGCCGAAGGTTTGAGCGATTGAAATTGTCTCTGAGTGCGAGTGTCTTTTTGTGCAGCTGACGAGAGCAGACTGACAAGGTGTTTTGTCAGCCAGCACTGGCGAAGATGGGCGCATGTTGAGAGACGAAAAAGGCAAGACTGACATAGAGTGCCTGCATCGTATTCTGTCATTTCTTTTTCCACGCCAGCAACGCAACCAAACAGTAAGTACCAGAGACAAGACTGGTGTGATGTGATGATGTGAGCGCTTCGAAATACTAATATGGGGATGAAGACGGGATAGCGAATAAAGGAAGGATGACGCTCAGCACGCCCTGCTCAGGCAGCGTGGCCGACGACACCGACGGCCGTGAAGATCTGGACTCCAAGAGCCATATAACGACCGCCGCTGCCGTGCCACGCAGCCTTCTCTTACAGCAGGAAAACACGTACGTCCCAATATCCCCTGCCACACCGTCCGCGTGCTCCTCCTCATCAAGGAAAGCAAGAGCCTGCGGTATCAGTATCGCAGACCAATATCCGCTTTCTTGCCGAGGGCAAGAAAGACCGCAGTCGCATCGGCCTTATCAGCCGACCACATCTTATTCATGTTCATCGTCCAGCTCCAAGAACAGCATGGCAAAGCTCGTCGCAGCCTCCACGGCCTCAGCGCTACTGGTGGTGCAGGACCTACTTCTTCCAGGGATCCTCTCCAGAAGTGGTTCCAGTTTCTTGCCAGATCATACCAGCTGCTTCGTGGCCGCCTCATCTCTCTCCGCGGGCGCGGCGACGGCGAGGACTAAAAATGTGAAGGCAAAGAAGTCTACTTCGGCCGCGACGAGTGCTGCAACAGCATCATCTTCATCTACTGCAGTGCATCACGACCATGAGCATGAGAAGATTGCTTCTAAAGAAAAAAAGGACGAAGACGTCAACTGGGTGCGAGTGAGCGAAGCAACGGAGGACGAAGTAGACAAAAAGAGCGTTCTTGATGGGGAAAGAACGGCAGGTCGCTCCACTTCAAGCAACTCAGGTAGAAGTAGCAACGACGACGACGACGACGGCGTCCTTCCGCTTCGAATCGGGAAGCAAGATCTCGTCGTGCAGAAAGTAAAAAAGGAGGAGAAACAAGAAGAAGCACAAAATGGAGAAGGAGAAGAGAAAAACAAAATCGTCCACGACGGCACACACGGGTACTTCCAACTTGTGAAGCACAGCGGCGCGAATATCAAGAAACCAGTACAGGAGCAGCAGCAGCATTGGTCTTCCGAAGAGTACGACACGGAAGATGGGCACCACATCAGACAATATTTCCAAGACAAGGATCTGCACGATGAAACACAAACATCTCCTGCTTCCACCTCGAAAAACAATCAAGACCTGGCTCTTTCCCCAGCACCAACGTCCGAAATTATCAGTGCGCTCTCGCGGCACAAGAGCTACGCACAGCAAGACGCCATAGTTCCGCAGACGTGTTCCAAAGTTACGGATTTGACGTGGGGCACGGACAAGCCGACGACGAAAGCTATGGCGTTCTCAACTGTTCTTACATTCTCAACTGTTAGTACAGGAATATGTGATGCAAGAATGGCAAAAGTGAATGCCGTGACCTTCCGCGTCTTGCATGACAGATGTGGCACAGGAGAAAGATTCTCAGCCTGTTTGGCATTTCGAGAATTTGTCATGCGAAGCAGCTTGATCGCGTCGGTTTTGATGGTAATTCTGCATGACAAACAGTTGAGAATGTAACATTTGAGAACGCCATAAAAGCCTCGGGCATCGCCGTTTCCGGTGGCGAGCTGGTGTTCACGACCGAGAATATCCAAGAAAAAAACTGTTTCACTGTAAACTTGTCATGCAGAAAATGTAATCTGAGAAGTCAGAAGTGTTTGTCTTGCTACACATGCAAGACAGTGCATTTTTAGCTGTGTTTTCCTTGGGAATCTCGCATGACAAATTTTCTCTGTCATGCAGAACAAACTTGTGATGTAAAACTTGCAAAATCCTTACTTTACAGTGAAACGCTTTTTTCTCACGATATAGAATGAGCCGAGTTTGCTGCACTTGGACTTGGAAAGCATGGGCACGCGGGTGGAGACGTATGAACTGCAAAAGAAAAAGTATCGTAGCTAGTATAAATGGCATGACAAATTTCCTTAGCATTAGAAATGGAATTTGTAATGCGGATTTGCCTCGAGAAGAAGATTTGTAATGCATTACTGCAATTACAACTATAAGTGCGATACTTTTTGCACAGGATAAAACGCTGCCGGCCACGTTGGCGGCCACCAGTCTGACGGGGGTAGCCGTGGATCACGGCTGGTTTCCGCTGAAGAAGGCACAGGTAGTAAAGTATACGGTCGCAGTAGTACAGATTTTTTTTCTGGTATGGCGTTGATGAATTTCAATTTTGTTTTTGACTGAAGTTGTGCGGCACACGGCGCAGTACCAGTTGTATACTTTTTTCGAGTATCTTCATGGTGTGTGTGACCACATTTCGAAAAAAATCGCCAGCACATAAATTCAATTCTACTTTCTTGAACATCAGATGTCCATCTCTACCCTGGAGACTGGCCGGCGCGAAATCTCGGATAAAGAAGAAGCTAAGAGCCACATGCTCCGCAAGCAAGACGACTTCACCTTGGAGACGCTGCAGAAGACGCTTGCCGCGGAGAAGCAGCACCTGCACGAAGTGCTGCACCACACGAAGCGGGAGCAGGAACTGAATAAAAAACTGCCCGGGCGCGCGGCTATGCAGTTCAAGGCCGTCCTGGCGAAAAATTTCGACAAGATGTTCGGTGGCGAGCCCGTCACCCAGCGGTTCGTCACGCCGAAGGGTGTGCGGTACCTGAAGATGACCCGGGATAATCTCGACATCGCGGACAGCATCGATCCCATCCCTTTATGCATTGCAAGAGCATCGTACTCCCTCGTAGTTGTAATTGCAGTCATGCATTGCAAATCTTTTTACTAAGTTGCATCCGCATTACAAGTTCCATTTCTAATGCTAAGGAAATTTGTATTGCAATCACTACTAGTACGATACTTTTGCAGTTCATACCCTTTGAGTGAGGACTATTCCCAGGCCATCAACGAGGAAAACGCGGAGTACCAGCTGCCGGACGGGGGGAGTTTGATATGCAACAAAAAAACTTTGTAAGTGTAAATCTGTGATGCAGAACATGCAACAGAGTTACACCTGTCATGCCAGACAACCACGAAGTCCTCTTTTCGTGTGTGCTTTCCCTTAGAAGCCACGCATCAGAGGTTTTCTCTGTCATGTAGAGCAAATCTGTAATGCTGTCAGCCAAAGAAAGTTACACTTACACTAACATAGTTTTTTTCTTGGATATTTGACCAAGAAAGTGTACACGGACGGGCGGGACCAGATGTGGCTCATATCCTGTGCAAAAGTATGGTGCTTGTATCATAAAATTAATCGCATGAGAAAATTCCTCAGCATGAGAAGTATAATGAAAATGTGTATATGCGGACTTTCTTACCCTGAGGAAGAGATTTTTTAAATGCGTTGCTGCGATTCGTACAACGAGCGCGGTGCTTTTGCAGTGCATAGCTCACTAAGGATTGCAAAAATGTCTGGGTCTGGAAGAGTCCGAGTTTGTCATGCTAAAACTGATCGATGCAAAAATCTGTATTGCGTGACCAGCAAAAGTCCTCAGTTTTGGTTACCAGAAGGCGGCATTTCTCATGCGGATTTAGCATTGCGTAGCCATCTCAAAACTTGTGATGCTAGAGCCCACATTCCAGACCTTCTGGGTCATGCAAAATATGCATGAGAAACCTGGTAATCTTCCAGACCCAGACATATTTGCATTTGATACTCACAGCGACGGACAAGCTGTACCAGTATGACCCGGTGGGGAAGACGGTGAAGAACCAGTAAGGATCATTTTTTACTTCTGCTCTGCTGTTGTAGAGTAGCAGCTATGGAGAAGCTGAAGCAGGTCTTTCGCTTTGTTTCGACGCACCATCAGAATTTCTGCTTGTTCTGCACGCGCATACTTACTGCACAACATCAATTTATGGACGCATCTTGTATGGGCATGATCATGAAGTAGTAGATGATGATTTTCGCATGAAATTTTATTATCTACTCCGTTACCACAGGCTTCCCTTCTACGACCAGAGCCTGTGGCAGACATCCCCGGTATCACAGGAAAACGAAAAAGTGTTAACTTATACGGAATTTGTGATGCGGCAGTGCATCGAAAAACGCGCCGAAATTTGTCATGCATAGCATGCGTAGGACGCTAAATTTGTAATGCAAGGCTGCAATCTGTGAAAAACCGTAATAGCGTTAACACTTTTTCTTGTGATTTCCGGCCTTGAAGGGCGACCCGGTGGATCTGGATTACGGGGCCGGCGCCGTGGCTCTGGGTGCGGAGGAGCGGCTGTACACCCTGAGCCGCTGGGGCTTCGTGCACGAGTTTGATGTCAGCTCGACGCCAAAAGCCTATCGGCCCTTCGCTGGCAATATGCATTGCAAAAGTATCGTAATAGTTTGAATTGCATGACAAATTTGCTCAAGAACAAAAATGCAATTTGTAATGCTGTCATCTTCCCTTAGAAAGTAGATCTGTCATGCATGACCGCACTACGAGTACCGTACGATAGTTTTGCAGAGCATAGGCAAGCGCGTGTCGCCCACCGCGTCCGCGTGGCGGTTACTATGCAATGTAAATTTCCTGTACATGTACAAAATGCATGACAAATTTTGCTACCTTGCATAGTCGAACCTGTCATGCTGGACTAGGATTGAAGGCAAGTTTTGTCATGCAGAGACTGCATTTGTACGTGTGCGGGAAATTTACTGTGGATAGTTACCTGCCGGGAGCTACTGGAAAGGACGGCCCTCGTCTTCGAAAGCGTCGGGCGAAAAGACTACAGCTGACCAATCACCAACCGCTGGAGCTGCTCCTGCTGCACTTCTTCAAGAAAAAACCAAAACGTCCTCGACGACCTTGGTGCAGCTTTTCCGAAAGTTGAAAGAGGTGAAGAAAGCGGAAAAAGAGAAGCAAAGAATGTCAAGAACTTTCTCGAGGACCGCTTCCAAATCTAAAGACCTTCAGAATATTCAACAGCAGCCAAACAACGGTCAATATCTGAACGTGGCTGCCGCCCTGAGTGCAGCGAATTCCGGAGCAGGTGCTGGAACAACAACCTCTCTAACCCCGTCGCTAAACGCCAATGGCCTGATCTCCGCGGCCGCCGCGCAGCAAGCCGCGCAGCAGCAGGCCGCGGCAGCGGCTGCGGCGGCAGGAGGTGCCAATCAGAATAACATCAATCCGGCCGCGAGTTCTACTTCTCAATCTGCAAACCCGAACGCCCCACCGACGTACACGTTCGAAACGAATGTGGAGGCGCCGCCACCCACGGAGTTGAGCATCGCGGTGGAAACCAAGCCGGCCTCGGCCGCGCTGGCGCCGAAGGGAGAGATCGGGGGGCCGGTGGGACTCAGCTTCCTCGACGGGTATCTCTTTCTCGCCACGGAGAAAGACGAAGTCGACCCGGAAGACGCCGGGTTGCAGGAGGAACAGAGCACCGGACCGCTGCTGTACGTGTACGCGCCGTCAGTGGACCCGCGGACCGAGGCTGTGATGACTTTTGTGGAGGAGGAAGGGCCGAATTTCTTACTTGGACCGGCGACGATAAGTATTGATAATCTTTTTGCCTGTAGTACTTCGTCGTGATCGTCAGATTTTTGCCCATGGTGGGACTGAGATGATCTTCATACATAGAGTATGCATTGTGGCAAGAGAAGTAGGCCAGTATGAGTTTCTCTATAGCTACTTTTCTATCTCCAACCCCAACATCCTCCACGACGCAAAGAGCCGGCCGTGTCGACGACCGAGGTGGCCACCACAACGCTGCCCGCTATGACGCTGGAGGAGCAGACCTGGTGGTTTCTGCACGACGCCCCGGAAAAAGGCGAGGACAGCGGGAAGAATGCTGTCGAAACCGACAAGAAGCCGTCCGTGCCATTTGGTCCGAAGGCCTCGTTTGGGAAAGGAGAGGGAAATCAATTAAAAAACGAACCCAGCCTCGAAGAGACCTTGACCGGGATAGAATTCGCCGACACACAGTACGACCTGCTCGTTGCTGCGGACCAGGCGGCAGACAAGGAAAGCTACGAATTTCAAGTAACGACAGCTGGCGCAGCAGCCACGTATGCATTGCAAAAGTATCGTGCTACGTATAAATTGCATTACAGAGTGACTACGTATAGCATTACAAATAAAATTTGTGATGCTGTTTTACGACCGCAGAAAAGAGATTTGTCAAGATGTATAACAGCAGTTACCACGAGTGCGATACTTTTGAAGTTCATACCTCCAAGCAGAACGCAACTTCGAACTCAACTACTTCTAACACAACTTCTACAGGTATGAATTGCAAAAATGTCTGGGTCTGGAAGATTGCAACTTGTCATGGTAAATCTGAAGCATGCAAAAATCTGTGTTGCATGAGTGCCAAAAGCTGTAAACTTTTGCCCATGGGAGTTTCTCATGCAGGATAGGCATGGCAGAGACCTCGCAGAGTCTGTCATGCTAAATCCTGCATTCCAGACCTCATGGGTCATGGAAGATGTGCATGACAAGTCTACACTTTTCCAGACCCAGACACTTTTGCACTTGATAACAGGTGCTGCCGGCGGAGCTGATGGTTCATCCGGAGCGGGAGCCGCGGCACTGGAGGTGCGCATATGGCCTGCGCAAGCGGTACAATCTCAAACGTTACAGCAGAATCTGGATTTTGTATTGCATAAAGAGCATGTGGAACGCAGAGAGAATTGTGGTTTTCGCAAGAATACAAATTTCGCCGGATTTCAGGTGGGTTTGGGACTCCGAAACTTGTCATGCGCAATCCTATGGGAGTAGGCTAGGTCATGCAGTTCTTGCATCACAGATTTCCAGACTCTATTGTAACGTTTGAGATTGTAACACCTGAGAGGGTTATAGCGCAACAAGAAAACTTCTCCCTCGACAAGCAGAAAATCTACTGCCGCGTCCTCGCCTGCTGCACCCGAGAGCGTGACGTTGCTGCGGCTATCCCACCAGCAGCAAGAAAATGCCAAGTTCGATCCGCTTCTGGCAATCGGCCGCGACGCCCAGCGCGAAGTGATGAAGGCGGACCATAAGGTCACGGACCAGACGCAGGAGGGGACGGAGGACCCAGTATGCATTGCAAATACGTCTGGGTCTGGAAGCATAAAACTTGTGATGCTACGTCTGGACTCTACGTAAAATCTGTATTGCGTAAAGAGCAAAATAGGTCGAGTTCTTGCTACGCGGAGAGGGTATTTCTCATGCGGTATGAGCATGATCAGAAAGCCCTCGCAGAATCTGTGATGGTAAGGCATGGTGCATCACAGACATCATGGGTCATGGAAAATATGCACCATGACAAACCTGGCAATCTTCCAGACCCAGACACTATTGCAGATGATACCCCGGGCCCACGCACGATCTGGAGCGGCCCTCGATCATTCCTGACCACGACCTGTCGCAGGAGCGGATCGACGACGCAAAAAAGGAAGGTAGAGAGCTGAGTCTGAACGAAAAAACCAAAACGACCTACAAGAAAAGGAGGGGAGGAACCAGCGGATCCAGACACGTGGAAACCCTCGCCGAGGAAGGCGCCGGGGGCCACCGCACCAAGATTCACAACCTGTTCGACCGCGTGCCAGGGGCGGGCAGCATGTCCGAGGAGCAACTGCAGAGGGAGAAGTCGCAGGAGGAAAAAGAAAAGTACTACGCCAAGATCGACGACGGCGACTACGAGGACCTAATTGAGGAAGAGAAGGCGCATATCCTGTGCAAAAGTATCGTACTCGTATTGCAGTCATGCATTACACCGGTAAATGCGCAGTACAAATTTTATATTTATTTCTCATGCTGTTATATGAGTTCGATACTTTTGCAGTTCATAGCGCACGGCCTGCTCGAATCCGGGCGCACGGAAGAGGATAACGCGTCCTTGAAACTGACCCAGAAGCAGCTGTTCGCAAAGCTTCAGAAGGACAAAGCCGAGCAGAAAAGGAAGAAGGAACGGGAAGAAAAGATCAAAGAACACCCGCCGTCCCCCGACCTCCTGGAAGCCCGAAAGTTCATGTACCAGAAAAGAAAAGAGACCAAAGAACGGATGGATTTCTACAGCCTCCCCGATTTCGCCCAGTCGCCGCTGTCCGCGGATGGTGTGGCCGCGAGCATGGAGCTATGCAGTGCAAAAGGGGTCGTATTCGGTAGAAATTGCAGATGCAACTACAAATAACCCTGCTTCGGACAGAAATTGAAATAAAATGTTGGAACTTGTCATGTCGATTCCATTATTAATGGTTAAGCATGTGACTACAAATGCGATGCTTTTGCACTGGATAAACGCAGCCGGAGGAGGACGGAATCGATGACCCCACGATGCAGACCTTTTTGCACAAGCGGAAGACCGCCGCTTCGAAATTGCGCAAGGAACTGACCGCTGTCGACAAGGAGGCACTGAAAAATCCCGTGCCGAGCAACAGTGGGAGACTGGACGAAATCACCCGGGACGCGCAGCCGACCCGCAGGGCCTTGACCTGGCAGGAGCGGGTGGACTTTTACCAGAAGCATTTGAAGCCGAAGACCGAAGAGGAGCTAAAAGAGGACGCGGAAAAACAGCAGATGCGAGCGGAGGAAGAAGACGAGAAGGAGTTCATGCGCGTTGGGGAAATCCGGATGAGGCACATGAAATCGCGGCTCCCGAACACTGCACAGTTTCTCACGGAGCAAGGGCGAACGACGCTCGACGGCGATGCTGTTGACAATGAGGACGACGCCGAGAGCAGTGGTGAACTACAAAAGCAAACGGGCACGGTTGGGTCGAACCAGTTTTACTTCGAACTTGGTTTGGACGCGAAAGAGGAAGACCGCCACCCACCCGGCTGGCAGCGCGTCCGGGGGAATAAGCGGGGGCCCGACGGCGAGCCGACGCAGGAGCAGTGGGAACGGGCGCAGGCCATGAAAGAGAAGCGGGAGAAGGAGGAGGAGCGGATGCAAGAGGAGCAAATCTACTACATGCGGACGGAGTTGCAGAAGATGAAGGACGACAAAAAGTTCCGGGAAGAAAAGCTGAAAGGCCCGGACAGGAAGAACTTCGAAGGCGACACGGCGCTCGATATGAAGTGCAAATGTGTCTGGGTCTGGAACATTGGAACTCGAACTTGTAATGCTGGTCTTACATTTGTGAGAACTCTGTATTGCATGACCAACGAATAAAGTAGCGGCCTCTTTTATGATCCGAGAGCGCAGTTCTTTCTCATGCGAGCTGCGTACTATGCGAAACCGTTCTGCGATAAACTTGTCATGCTTGTCTGCAGATCGGGAAGTGTTTTCATCATCCTCAGTTCAGCATCACAAATCTCCAGACCAAGACGTATTTGCAATGCATACTCGACATGTTGCGGCTCAAGGCGACCTCCGTAAACAGCGATCCGCAGGCGGAGCTGCTGCGCCTGCGGTATGGGAGTGTCAGGATTGAAATTAACAAAGTTGAAATAGTTTGTGATGCATAAAATGGATGAAAGTTGTAACCCAGTTTCTAAGTGGCGCATGACAAATTTGGGTAGAGCCGATACCCAGTTTGTCATGCTGTTTGGGTAAGGAAGGCGTCTTTTGTCATGCTACTTTAGCAGCTCCGTTTCCACCCCTCAACAGGCTTACAATCTGCCTCACTTGCCTACTCTGCAAGAGAGGCACTTTGTGGGCTGCATTTTATGCATTACAAGTTATTTCAACTTTGTTGATTTCAAACCTGACGCATCCATATGCGGACCGGGAACGGCGTGGGCGAGCAGGCGGTGCTGCAAAAGATCGACGCGTTGCTGGAAAAAGACGATTTTGACCTCTGGCTGGACATGCAGGATGCGGAGCGCGAAAACCAGGAGCGGCTGGGGAAAAAGGAGAAGCCGACCGCCGAGTTCACGGAGTTGTGGAGCCGGCCGCCCATCCAGGCCTGGTGGAACAACCCGACCTACTATCCTGTGCAAAAGTATCTGATACTCGTATTGCAATCCTGCATTACAAATTTTTTTTTCAAGGTAAATCCGCATTACAAATTTTATTTCTCATGCTGAGGAAATTTGTACTGCATTTATACGAGTGCGATACTTTTGTAGTTCATACCTACACCGCCGTGACGACGCCGAAGCCGCTCTCCGTGCAAATGCGCACAACGGTGATTAAGGACAAAACTGACGACAAGTGGAAAGTGAAAGAAGTCCTTCCTATGCACTGCAAAAGTTAGTTTCGTACTCGTAGTAATTGCTGTTATGCATGACAAATCTCTCTCCTAAGGTAAAACAGCATTACAAATTTCATTTGTAATGCTGAGCTAATTTGTAATGCAATTTATACTAAGTGCGATGCTTTTGCAGTTCATACTTCCCCCGGTCTCGCAAGTGTACAGTACCGAGCAGCTGATCCAGAAGCGGAGCGCCGAGGTATCCTGAGTAAAAACATACCCACACCATAGTCAAGATGGGGAATCGGCTAGACAAATCCACAAGTTTTGGCTGTTTTGCATGACAAATTTGGATTCGTAGTGTAGTGCTGTTTGAGCTAGCTCAGCAGCATCGCAGATCTAGTAGATCATGCTAATTGGAGCATTACAAATTCCAAAACACGACTGGAAAACGCTTCTTATCGTGCTCCGCATGAGAAACATTTTCAGCATGCGCATTTGCATTACAACTCTGGTGTGGGTACGGTTTTACTCAGGATACGAGGAGAGAAAGATTCGCCTGGAAAAGCAAGCGGCAGACGCGGCGCTGGCGGCGAAAAAGAGAAAGGAAAGCGGTGGAGAGGTAAAAAAAGTCGCGAAGAAGAGTGAGGTCGCTGCGGGGAACAAAGCGAAAGAACAAAAGGGAGAAAAAACGGAGAACTCCCTGTCGTTTCAAGTGCATCAGGACGAAGAGGAAGACGAGGAAGAGGGTTCTAGTACCTCTACGTCGTCGAAAAGTGGTACAGCTGCTTCTTCAAGAAAGGGAGCGGCGGTGGAGAAGATGTCTTTCGAGCTGAAACAGAACCAGCAGAGAAGTGGCACTGAAACAGAATCAAAAACAATGGCAGCTGCTTCTGGCACAACTACAAGCGGTGCTAGTACCGCTAGCGATCAAGACCCAGAGGGGGACCCATCTAGTACTTCCGCGACAAAAGTGAACAAGAAAGCCACCTTTTGGATCAAGCAGAAAGAGAACAACCCGAAATTCTTATCAAATGCAAAAATGTCTGGGTCAGGAAGATTTCTACATTTGTCATGCATATGTTCCATGAGTCATGATGTCTTTGATGCATGCCGTAGCATCACAGATTTTTAGAGGACTTTGTGATACCTCTACCGCATGAGAAATGCCCACTCCACGTAGGACAACGACAAACCCGACCCCTCTTGCTGGTCATGCAATGCAATTGTTTTTAGAATCCACAGACAGCATCACAAGTTGTGACCTTCCAGACCCAGACATTTTTGCATTTGATAATTCTGGGTGAAGAATAAAGTCAACAAAGCAACCTTCTGGATCAAAAACGGTGCTGATGGAAAGAAGTCTGACGATGATGAAAGTGGTTCGACTGGTAGCTCTGTGCAGATGATGGCGAAGAAAAACAAGCACCAGCTCGACCTCACGATTGAAACGGATCAGAAACATCAAACAACTGATACCGCACGAGATATTAACAAGCCGCGTTCTAAGAAGAAGCATCAGTCAAGAACATCATCTTCCGCGCCAGCGCCAGTCTTGCTGCAAGTAAAGATGTTGACCGGGGATAAGCATGTAGATCGTGCTAGCAAGAAAAGCGGAGAAGATGGACACCACGAGGAGGACGAGGACACGACCACGACAAGCAAAAATAAGAGCGAAGATGAAGAGGAGACTACAACTACCGAGGAAAGCACGAAAAAGTCCGAAGAGGAGGAAGAGGACTCGTCGTCCCCAGTGGCCCTCGAGGAGAACAAGCGCACCGAACACGAACAGCACGAAAGTGAGACGCTGCAGACGAAGAAGACGAAAAAGAAAAAGGTATCCTGTGCAAAAGTATCGTACTCGTAGTAATTGCAGTCATGCGTTACAAATTTTTTTCCCAAGGTAAATACGCATGACAAATTTTATTTCTCCTGCTGAGGGAATTTGTAATGCATTTATACGAGTGCGATACTTTTGCAATGCATAAAAGGCTCAGTCGGGCAATGTCCGGGCCTCGAAGGAGTACCGGGACGAAATGGGGATCACGCAGGCAGTATGCATCGCAAAAGTATCGTACTACGTATAAATCGCATGACAAATTCGAATTCCTTCAACGAACGAAGAAACGCCGAATTTGTAATGCAGAGTTACAATTTAGGTAACGTAAAGAAAGTAGATCTGTCATGCACGACTGCGATTAGCAGGGGTTGTACGTCACTTTTGCACAGCATAGTCGGAGGAAGTGGCAGCGGAGGAGCGGAAAAAGGCAGCCTACCTGAACCATTTGCACAAGGACATCGACAGTGACAGCTCCGGAGAGGATAAGCACTGCGTAAAATCACGACCATTTTCACCCTCACTTTGTATTTGTATTGCGCACGACGAACACAGAGCGCGTAGTATACCTCCACCCGAAGTACCGAATCATGAGTAATTCTAATTACGGCTCGCAGTTGCATCTCGCTCTTGCATGCTCTGTAAGTGTCGATGCATTTGCATTGAAGGATCGCTGTACTTAATAAAAACCCTAAAAAGCCCCTGGATGTTGTGGGGATGGCGTCGATTTACGCAGTATACAGTACCTATGGCAGGACGACGACGACCCCTACAAGCCGCCGATTGCGTGGTATTTAGCGCGACACTCGTTGAAAAAAAAGGTGACGAAGTCCATGACGATGAAACTCCTAAACACTCCTGCTTCTTCTGCGAGTGGAAGCAGCAAGAAGATTGATGCAAATCACAAAGACGACCACAGTCGTCCTGCAGCGGCTCCTGTCACGCTGTCAGCGACGTCGCGGAAAACGACAACAGCCTCGCACCGCCTCTTATCACACAGAAAAAAGCAGGCAAAGCTTATTACTATCTAAACTGCAGCAGCTGGTCAAAAATGCAGGCGAGGGGTATGTTCGGGGGTATGTTCGGGGGTGTGTCAGGGGTATGCAAATGGCCGTCAATCACGGGCGGATTGCAATTTTTTGGCGAAAAAGCAACAGGTGGGGTATAAACATACCCCAGACACACCCCAGACACACCCCAAACGTACCCCAGACAGACCCCCGAACACACCCCAGGCAAAAAGTCCGAACATACCCCAGACACACCCCGGACACACCCCGGGCAGACTTTCCGACACACCCCGGGCAGACTTTCGGACACACCCCGGACACACTTTGGGACCTCGCCACGCGAGCTGTGCAATGGCGGGCTCCAGTTTGTCACGCGAGCCGCCACCCTGCCGAGCTTCCCGGGCCCCGTTGGCAAGGCCCAGGGACGAAAGGCGCCCTCGGCCAGCGCGGGGACCCGGTCCCCGCGTCATGACCTGGGGGCCAGCTTTGGGCGCTTCCCGGACACCGTACGGCCCAGGGGCAAAAGCCCTAGGTCAGCGCAGGGACTCGGTCTCCGCGTCATGACCTAGGGGCCAGCTATGGGCGCTTACATCCCGGAAACCAACCGCACGGCCCAGGAACAAAAGCCCCAGGTCAGCGCGAGGACTCGGTCCCCGCGTCATGACCTAGGGGCCAGCTTTGGGCGCTTCCCGGAAACTAACCGCACGGCCCAGGGGCAAAAGCCCTAGGTCAGCGCGGGGACTCGGTCCCCGCGTCATGACCTAGGGGCCAGCTTTGGGCGTTTCCCGGAAACTAACCGCACGGCCCAGGGGCAAAAGCCCTAGGTCAGCGCGGGGACTCGGTCCCCGCGTCATGACCTCGGGGCCAGCTTTGGGCGCTTCCCGGAAACTAGCCGCACGGCCCAGGGGCAAAAGCCCTAGGGCAGGGCGGGGGCTCGGTCCCCGCGTCATGACCTGGGGGCCAGCTTTGGGCGCTTCCCGGAAACTAACCGCGCGGCCCAGGGGCAAAAGCCCTAGGTCAGCGCGGGGACTCGGTCCCCGCGCCATGACCTAGGGGCCAGCTTTGGGCGTTTCCCCCCGGCCGGAAACTAGCCGCAAGGCCCAGGGGCAAAAGCCCTAGGTCAGCGCGGGGACTCGGTCCCCGCGTCATGACCTAGGGGCCAGCTTTGGGCGTTTCCCGAAAACTAGCCGCACGGCCCAGGGGCAAAGCCCCTAGGTCAGCGCGGGGACTCGGTCCCCGCGTCATGACCTGGGGGCCAGCTGCAGACCCGGCGCCAGTTTCTTCCTTTCTGTTCTCTCTGTTCGCGGTAGGCTAACGGGTCTAGTGTGAGCAAGCAGAGGGGCTCCGTCCGCAGATCTGTCGCGGATCAGGGGACGGAGGCCACACAGAAACACCGGGCTGCAGGGGTCTGCCTGCGCAGTGCCACCACCGCCCCCGAACTCGTCCCAGACAAATGCCGGAAGGTCGCCGCACGGGGATTCTGTCCTCGTGCTCGGACCTTGTTTGTCATGCAAAAATAAATACACAGAAAAATCTGTCATGGGCGGGCCCGTGGCATGCTGTTTAGGATATTCAATGCAGATTTTTCCGTGTATGTATTTTTGCACTACAGATCTGACCTGCCTGCTGTTTTCTGTGGGATACCTCTCCGTCGAAGAAGAAAACGCGCAGTTGGCGGCCGCAGAAGAGGCAGAGGAGGCGAAGAAAGCGAATGAGAAAAAGCAGAAGCACAAAAAGCGCAAGAATAAACACCGACGTGGACACAAGGACAAGGCGATAAAGATGAAAAAGCAGAAGAAGAGCGGTGATGTTGAGCCGCAGAGTGTTAGTGGTGCTGCAGCTGCTTCTACTTCTTCTTCCACCACCGCTGCTTCTAGTACCTCCCCGGTAAATTTTCTGCAACTCGACGGGGGAACAAGGGCAGATAGTCCGGAGAAAAAGACATCGCTCGTCCAGAAGGATCCCGTTTCTGATCTTGCCGCCGAAGTAGCGGGGGAAGACGCTGAAAAAGACGAGGAGAGCTCGGAGGACAAGGACGAGGAGAGTGGAAGTGCGGACGATGAAAAGGACGAGAGTGATGAAGACGAGGATGCTCCTCGAAAAATCCAGGATGCGAAGGCAGACGGCGCTGCAAAATCAAACAAAGCCAAGACTATGTCAGCAACTGCAACGTCGACGTCCAAAAGCGGCAAAACCAAAAAAGCGGCGAGCAAGAGTAAAAAAGCCCAGAAGGAAGATGAAGAAAATGAGGACGAAGATTCATCTGACTCGGCTACTGCCGATGAGGAAGCAGAGGCGGATAACTCCGAGGATTCCGAAGACGAGAAAGAAGAGGACGATAACAACAATAAATCCACGGCCGCGTTGGAAAAGGAGGCTGAAAAAGACGAAAAACACGGCCACGCTTCCCCAACAATCAGTGCACTTTGGAAAAAGAGGAAGGAAGAAGCAGACGCTGCTGGTGCAGAACGAGGACCTTCAAACAAGAAAGACACAACTACTTCAACTGCCGGAAGCAAAGTAGAGCGAAAAGACAAAGACGACAGCGAAAAGACCGAGCATCAAGCCGGGTCTTCTTTTTCGTCCTCAACCAAGACGACAAAGTCTGCACCGAATTCCGCGCAAATAAAGGAATCTCTGGCCCGGACGAAAGCCAAGACGGAGGAGAAGCAACAAGCGGCGGAGAAAGCAGGAGAAGGTGAACAAGCTGCTGCAGGAGGAGCTACAAAGAAAGTCCAGGTCTACGCGGGTATCGACTGCAACCTTAACAATTGTTCGCCGGACCAGCAAAAAGCCTTCGACAACCGCCCAGACAAGCACATCGGCGTGACCGTCCACCACACGGAAGTGCGAGGCATAATTCATCCTCGCGCCCATTCTGCGAACGTTGCCATTTCTGATGCTGATCCAAAGGTGCATCAGACCTCCGCGGCCTCAACAGCGACCGCTGGAGGTGCCCCATCATCTTCGCATGGAACAAATACTAATTCACCCCTGTCCGCAGTGGCGAAGAAGAAGGTCGCCCAGGGAGCGAAGACAGCGAAGCTGAAGATGCAGTTGAAAACGAAGAAAGGTACTAGCAAGAAGGGGCAGATGAACAGCAACAAGAAGCAGCCAACAATAGAGTGGCCAAGGACGGATTCCCCCCCGACAGTTCCGAGAACAACTCCCACTGTTGGCAAGAAGTCCGCTGACAAGGTGAAAGCACCAGCAGAAAAAAAAGGCGTGATGACGGGTCAGCCGCCGGTGATCACGATTGAAAACACAAGAAAAATGTATGTCGAGGAGAACAATCTTGATGCGGAAGAGTCAGCGGACGAAGAAGAGTCGGATCAGCCAACTGAGGGAGATTCAGCCCTAGATGACGAGGAAAGAAGCGACGAGGCCAGCGTCGAGGACCACGACAAGAAAACTCCTGGCACCGAAATAAAAGCGGGGAAGAAGATGAAGAATAAAATCAAGACGAAGAAAGTGACAAAGACCAACAAAAAGTCCCGCCGCCGACGAGAGGATGCGGATGAAGAAAACGAATCTGACTCGTTGGACCGCGATATGACAGTGCACAACTCCCTCTCTTCCTCATTTGTATAGCATGAACGGCAATACAAGTAGCATGAGCATCAGCAAGAGTGCCGGTTCTGCATGACAAAGTTGCACGACTCCTGGAGCGTAGTGCAGCTATTTGGGCTACCAGAACTACTTGTCATGCAAACAGTGCCAAGAGGCAAAGGGTGGATTTATTGGGTACCTCTTTGCATGACAAATGAGGGGAACAAGGGGGAGTTGTGCAATGCCATACGCGAGAGCTACAGTGAGGAAGAGGATAAAGAAGAAACGTCAGGGCCGGATACCGAAGACGAGGAGGTCCTTGCGCAGCAAAAGAAAAAGGGCCAAGGCGTGGATCCAAAAAATAAAAAGGCCCCGGCCGTCGCGGAGGTGCAAAACAAGTCCATCAGTGCGCCGAACAAGAGTGCGACTACTGCAGCGCCGGCCTCAACGACGTCAGAACTGGAGAACAAGACCACTGAAGCAGCTGCGTCACCTTCGTCTAAAGCAGGAGCGAATTCATCATCTACAACGCCAGCAGCTGCAAAGACAAAGAGTGTTAAAAAAGCTCAGGGGCGGCCCGTACTATTGTTCGAAAGCGAACGGGAAATGCTTGATGGAGAAGATGAAGGTCAACAGGATTACGGGATGAAGACGAAGAGGAAGAAAAACAAAAAGAAAAAGGGTTCGTGGAGGTCCAAATCTCGGACAACAACTCGGAAGTCAGAAGCCCGCGAGGAGGAGGACAGCGACAGGGACACCAGCTTATCGCAAGAAAAAACTGTTTCATTGTGAACTTGTGATGCAGAAAATGGACCACAGAACGACTTGCCTTGCTACACCTGCAAGAAGACATTGGATTTTCAAGCGTGTTTTCCCTTGGGAAGCGCGCATGACAGATTTTCAGTGTCATGTGTAACAAACTTGTGATGCTGATCTTGCAAAATCACCACAGTGAAACAGTTTTTTCGTGGGATACAGCTCCTCCGCACTACAATCTACTTCAAAAGCGGAAGAAGATGCCGAAGACGTCGCGCCGCAAAAGGAAGTTGCTGCAGGCATCGAGGAGGACGGCCAGAAGGAGGACAAGGAGGATGAGAAGCCGTCGACGAGGAAGGGGAACAAAGCCACCTCGAGCTTGAAGGCTGAGGCGGGGAAAAAGGAGGGAAAGAAGCAAGCTGCTACTTCTGACTCTGAAGCGGATGAAAATAAAGGCACTACTAGCACGAAAAGTAGAACAAAGTCAACTTCGTCTGAAAAAGATGAAAAAGACCACAACCTCTTCGACGATAAAGAAGACGAGAAGTCATCTTCAGGAAAAAAGTCGGAGCAACAAGTTTTGGAGGAGCAAGAGGAAGAGATGCGGAAAGTGTATGGCTTTGGAACTACAAGAAGCCCTTTTGCAAGGATCATGATCATCATGTCAAAATGTGCTGCTACTACAAGAGCACCAAATTTGTAGTTTTCATCAGCGCAAAACGTCATGCATTTTGATTTTGCATTTGCATGATAGGCCAAAGTTTTTAGTCTGGGAGTAGTTCTCTCTCTCGCTTCGTACTCCGAGAAAAGAGAGACATCTCGTTTTCGATTTCTCGTCTTCGAGATTATTCGTGTGTCGATTTTGTTCGTGTGTCCGTTACATCAACGAGCGTATCTTCGGTTTTTGTCGATCCCATCATTTGATCTCTCTATTTCGATTCTCGATTTCGCTCTCGCTTCGCTCCTCGCGCTCTTCGCTCGCATCGACTACCGTTGAGGCTTACCTCCGGTCCGAGAGTCGTTTTTTGTTTTTAGTTTAGGAACGTCGTCCACATCAGGCGATGTTCCTGCCTTGCTCGTGCGCATACGTACGTAGATCTTTTGGCTTTGGTCAGAAGGTTTAGGGTCGGAGCGCTCTCAGCACTGCTGAAGCTTTAGAACCAGATGGGAGTGCACACCCGGACGGATCAGAGCAAAAGGCTTTATTAGCGCTTTTTGAACGTAGATTTTACCTTTACTTCCTTGCTGCTCTTTTGCTTTCCCCGGGCCCTACTGGCACCAAGCAGGGTTTTTTGTGGGTTGGGACATGACACCATCCGGTGTCCTATGCGGGTATTTTGCTTGAATAGAATCTTTAGGTCTTACCATGCGGTTTTGTGCACACTCTCTCTGATCAGTTGCGGTTTCCAGTTCTTCTCCCCTGATTCATCTTCCCGTTTCCGCCCCGGTACCTTCGCCTGCGTCGAAAAGGGTTTAGAAGGGTTGAGTGGGTTTTTGGTTTTAGGGTTCTATTTTGATTTTAGTCTGGGAGTAGTTCTCATTGTGAAGACAGCTATTACTTATTTGTCGAGCAGATCATGATTCTTGCGAGATGAACATCTGTTTTTAACCCCGCCATACATTGTTGTCTGCCGAGGCGGAGGAGGAGCCGGGCAAGCATAAGCAACGGAATAAAGCGCAACAAGTAAAGGAAAGTGCTACAAAAGGAGGCCAGAATAAAGCTGCTGCTCCCGTCACCTTAACTGCCAAGCAATCTTCTACGAGAAGTAGTAGTAAAGAAGAAATGAAGTCGTCGAATAAAGAGGGGACCACGACAAAACAAGGATCTTCGACTACAGCTACAACAGCTCGCGTAAAGTCTGCTGTTGATCAGCATCGCTTGGAGATTGATAACGCGGCGAAACAGGTACAAAAAAAGATGGCGCAGGAGGCCGAGGCACGTCGACAGAATAACGGGTCCACTTCTTCGGGCGGATTGGAAGCAGAAAAGTTCCGAGCTGTGCCGCTAAAAAAGGAAACGATAAATCACGAGTTGCACGATGGAACGCCCACCGACCTGTCCGAGATCGCCAAGTCGAACCCAGCGGTGGCGGCGCATCTGCAAACACTGAAAAGAGAAAAGGAAGAAAAGGACAAGAAGAGAAGGCAGGAGCAGGCCACCAAAGTAGTGTCCGCGGAAGATGCGGCCAAGGCAACGGAGCGAAAACTGAAGCTGGCGGAGGAAGTATCCTGAGTAAAAACGTCCCCACACCAGAGTTGTCATGCAGACTTGCAGTGACAGGAAGAGGAACACTTGTAATGCGCTTCCCCATGACAGGCATTTCCAATCGTGTTTTGGCATTTGTAATGTTGCAAACAGGATAAGCAGGCGGATTTGTGATGCCGTTGTCCTTGCTAACATGCACTACACTGCGGACTGCAACTTGTCATGCGTGGCTCCCAAAACTTCTGGATTTGTGTTGCTGAGTTTCCAAGCCCAACTTGACTCTGGGGTGGGTACGTTTTTACTCAGGATAGGAAGCGGACAAAAAATTTGCGAACGAGCTCGGGGAGGACAAGACGCTAAGCAGCTTCAACCCGGTCAAAGACTGGCGCACGGCGAACCGGCAAAAAAAAGTCAAAGCGATTCTGCAATCGGCGAACAAAGATATGTATGTATTTGTAATTAGTATCGTATTGGTACGCTTGAAAAACGACCCTATCTGTAATGCTGATTCATCGTGTTCCAGTAACAGTAACGACAAGAAGCTAGCTAGGTTCATCGTTTGTCATGCAGAAGTCTTGCAATAGCAATTTCAGTACAAGTACGATACTTTTGCAGAGGATAACACGCCGGTGGGCGGGGAGCCGATCGCAAACGTATCAAATGCAAATACGTCTGGGTCTGGAAGAGTCAAGTCATGCTGCTTTTGCATGACACAGAAGGCCTGCCATGGAAGCTCTAGCATCACAGGTTTCGAGAAGCTTCCGCAATGCCGAATCCGCATGACAAATGCCCCATTCTGGTATCAGAAAGTGGCCAGCTTTCGCCGCCTGTGCATGAGAGATTTTTTTGTGTTGTAAAAGGCGCATAACAAGTTTGCATTCTCCCAGACCCAGACATTTTTGCATTTGATGAAACGAGGATATCGACAACATCACGTTGCTGAACAGCCAGCGATATCAAAAGCAAATATGTCGGGGTCTGGAAACTTGTGATGCAAGGCAGGAAATAGTGAGCACACTGCAGTGCGCTGCCAAGCATGACAAGTTATTCCGTGGTTTTGAGTTGCGTACTCCGCATGAGAAACTGCGTTTTTGCATGACAGCCAAGAGAAGCTCTTCGCGGCCACGCAAGACAGAGTTCAGAGTCATGCCCGACTAGCATGACAAATCTCGCAATCTCCCAGACCCAGACATATTTGCCTTTGATAAGCGAAAGGAGAAAGCCGCAGCGGGCATGAATTTAAAAACGAAACAGGGCATCAAAGAATTCAAGCAGCACTTGGAAGAAAAGTCGTTGGAACACTTGAAGGAAGGCAGTGAAAGAATGGACGCAAAAGCGGCAATGAAAGCCGACAAAGCGGGCCGGGACAAGCTTGCTTCTCTCGTCAATATGAATCAGCACACTGCTATTGAGGAGAAAACACCCATCCCCATGCATTTTTTGCATAACAAACCCTGCAACTTCTCCATGTTTTTCATGACAAATTGGATGGCGATGAGTGTTTTTTCCTGGAGAACTGCTTTGAAGAGCGCGGAGGCCACGAAGACCATGACGGAAGAACAACGTATCAGAAAGTGAAAAAATAAAAACGGTTTTGTACTACTTGTCTTTTGTGTTTGACTCTTCGTTGTAACAAAAAAATATTGCATTTGCACCGATGCAGGGAGGTGTGCAGTCGTAGAGCCGTGCGGTTTCGTAAACTTTTGAGCAGTTGTATAGTACAGCTGTAATAGTAGCCCAGCAACCCTGATACGAAGCACTTTTAGGTAGTCTCCGCTCGACAGACAGGGCGGATGAGGAACGAAACACAAATGCACTTTATAACAACATTGCATTTTGCTGTATTGCCTAATGCATCGCAATAACGAATAAAAATAAATATTTGAAATTTCGGCGATTTCATGAAGCAATAAAAATAAAAATTTGAAATTTCGCGGATTTCATAAAGCAATAAAAGATAAAATTTGAAATTTTCGCGGTTTGTATGTTGTTCGGAATAGCGCCTGAAGCGGGTGCTTGCGACCGACCTATGCGGTGCTGGGCTTTTCGATGTCGATAAAAATAAAATTTTAAAATTTCGCGGATTTTGGCGGAAGTTCCAAGCTTTTGCTGTTTTTCGGCAACACAAGCTGCTTCAGTCCCCGTATAATTGAGAAGCGTGATGTTGTATGTAGGTGATCGATGCGTTTGACATGTGATGAAAATGAAATTTTAAAATTTCGCGGATTTTCGTCATCAATAAAAATAAAATTTTGAAATTTCGCGGATTCCTTCTTGTAGCGCTTTTGCTTGTTCGTGTCTGGGATAGAGCAAGCGCATATCTTCTCACAGTACCTGGTACCTTGGGAAAGGCTATAAACAGGTCGTGGTACCGCGAGTATAATTTGAAAGTTTCCTTTTTGAGCTCCTCGTATGTCCACGCTGATTCGTCGACCATTGATCGATTGCACAATTTCGTCATCAAAAGGCGACTATTTCAGTTCGTGTTGCGAGTGGATTTCCGGGGCACTTTTTGGCGCCGGTCGTGCGCCCAATTTTATCTGCCTACCTAGCCGCGGCTGGCCTTTTTTGGACACGAAAGAGCGACTATGTCAGGTCGTGTTGGGAGTGCATCTGCATTTGTTCCGGGGCACTTTTTGGAACGACCGTGCGGGGGGCCCGCCGGATTATCCCGCCTCGCTAGCCGCGGAGGGTGCCCGGATTTTTGTTTCCCAGGAATAAAAAGTGGCTAAGCCGGGCCTCAGCCTTGTTTTCGATAAATAAATTGAAATTCAGTCCTTGTACTACACAGGAGAACTGCAAGACCGTTTCAAAATTTGTTTCCAACCGGCATACTCCGTGAGGCCAAGACGGAAGAGATGGAGTTGATGTTGGCGGCAGGGCAGAAGGAGGCGGCGTTCAGCGAACAGGAGTTGGACATGTTGAAGCAGAAGCGGCAGGAGAAGAGCGACAGCTGGGCCCTGAAGTTGAACAAGATGGAGGCAAACCTCCATCTCGCCGACGACCAGTTGGAGCGGCTGCGGGAGCTCGGCCACGTCGCGTATCGCAAGAAAAAACTGTTTCACTGTGATGATTTTGCAAGATCTGCATCACAAGTTTGTTACACATGACACAGAAAATTTGCCATGCGCCCCTTTCCAATGGGAAAACACCCCTAAAAAACCAAGGTCTTGCAGGTGTAGTAAGACAAATAGTTCTGTGTTCCATTCTATGCATCACAAGTTCACAGTGAAACAGTTTTTTCTTGGATATCGCGGGCAAGGACTTCAATAAGGGAGCCGACGTGAAGCAGGCCACCCAGGACATCGACTGGGGCCACTGGGGCGAGCACAAAACGCTGAGCATCGACCCCGCAAGGCGGGAGGAGGCACATCTAAAAGCCATGGCGAAAAAGAAACCAAGGGAAGAGGAGGGTGATTCGGGCGAGGAGTATGCAATACAAATTTCACGTACATGTACAAGATGCATAACAAATTTCACCAATTTAGAGCATAAAACTTGTCATGCTAAACTAGGATCGAAGCCAAGTTTTGTCATGCGGAGACCGCATTTGTACGTGTGCGGGAAATTTCCTGTGGATAAGGAGTATCCCGACATGCCTGAGGACGTAGACATGAACTTCGCAGAAACACACAAATAGCTGCATCACCACAAGCACCATATCCTCTTCAAAAGTATCGTACTCGTAGTAATCGCAATCACGCATTACAAATCTGTTTCGTAAGGTAAATCAGAATGACAAATTTCATTTCTCATGCTGAGGAAATTTGTAATGCATTTATACGAATACGATACTTTTGCAGTTCATACACCACCACAAAAAGACCCTTGATGCTACCGAGGATGAAATGAAAGAAGAAAACAAGAACGAGGCTCATCCTGACAAGGATGTTGAAAAAAAAGACGTACCAGATGAAAAAAAATCCCCTGCAGCTGCTGCTGCGTCGAAGGAAGATACTCGTAAAGCCGCTTCATCAGGAAAAACAAGTACAGCTTCAACAACCAGTACATCCAGTGAAAGTAAAACTGACCCGGACGAAGAGCATTCCTCCGTGCAGCTCGTGGAGTTGGGCAGGAAAGAAGAGACAAAGAGCCACGGCACGCAGTTTGGAACAACGGCCGCCGGGATGAAAAATGATGTGGGTAAAAAGGATGAAACGACCGCCGTGGCAACTAGTACAACAGCAGACAAGGCTAATTCCTCAAAAACCACGTCCTCGGTTGTTTCCTCCACAACTAGTACCAAAGACGAAAACAAAGCTGATCTCGCATCTCTCGACCCCGACGGCCTGTTCGCGGATATGAAAAAGCTGATTCAAGACACGAAAAACAAAATCGCAGAGATGAAAAGTGAAAAAACGAGAATTGAGGAGCAGTCGGCAAAAGTGCAAAAAGAGCTTGACGCTAAGCTTGCGGCGAAACAGGCAGAATTGCAGGCAAAAACGAAAGAAAGTGTGGACCTACAGCGGAAAGAGGGCGAAAAGGCTCTGAAGGATGGGAAGGCTTTGGTAGACAAGATGTTGAAGACATCAGCTTCAAGCGAGAAACAGGAAGAAGAAAATGCTATTGCAAGAACATCTACATCATCTTTGGAACGAGTGTCTTCATCAAATGGTGCTGCTCAAGAACTGTCACCCGCGGCCAGCACGAGCAACAGCCCCACACGACCTCCTGTAAACAAGATGAAGAAAAGCACGACCACCAACCTGAAGAAGCGAAGTACTGCCAGCTTCGCGCAAGACCACCACAAGTTCGTCCGTATCAACTGCAAAAATGTCTGGGTCTGGAAGAAAAAGAATGCCAGACTTGTCATGCAGGTTTTCCATGGAGGTCTGGTATGTGGGACATAGCATGACAGATTCTGTGAGAGGTCTATCATGCCTATCCTGCATGAGAGTGTGCGTCTCGATTAGGGCAAAAGTGGACAGGTTTTGGTAATCGCGCAACACAGATTTTTACATGACTCCAATTTAGCATGACAAGTTGCTTTGTTCCAGACCCGGACATATTTGCATTTGATAGTCCGAGACTCGGTGCAAGACGCGGAGGAGGAGGGGGTCAACGAAGCGGCGAACCTCGCCCGGTTTGCAGAAATGGCAAAGTTTCCCCGGGGGGCGGCCGTGCAGATGAGCGTGAAGGGGTCCAAGTTGAGCCTGCTCAGCGAAAAACTGAAGCCCAAAGCCGTCATGGCGATGCTGCAAAAGCAGCAGGGGGAACAGGCGGTGGCGATGCACGAGGTGAAAGCGCCAGACCAGCGGATAGTAGAAGATGAACATCAGCCTCAGCCAACTTCTTCCGCTGCCTTGCTGCAGGAAAAAGCGAACACGAACAGCATGTTGGAACAGGAGCTGGATTTAGAAAAAAACATGTCGCAGCAGGAAGTAGCATCGAGGCTCCAGAAGGAGGTGCAGACCTTGCTTAAAGAAGTAGAGAACCTGCGCGAGGTGGAGATGACAGCACTTCTACGCGAGGACGCTGATACTATTGAGGACAATACACATCTCCACAAGAGCCTAGCACTCGAAAACCAGCACCACCAGCAGCTGCAGCTCCGGGTTCCCCGAGCGGCTGGAGAGACAGCAGCCCAGCCAGCTGCTTCCACCGAGCCCATCGCGGTGTACCAGTTACCCATCCCGGTGTCGGGAATTGCGGCCACGCGGAAGATATGCACTGCAAAAGTATCGTACTAGGAGTAATTGCAATACAAGTTCGCTTAGCATGACAAATGGAATTTGTCATGCTGATTTTCCTTGGGAACGAGATCTGTAATGCATGACTGCAATTCCTACGAGTGCGATACTTTTGCACAGGATAGAAGAGCTTGAAGGGCTTCGCGGTGTACGCAGTGCATGCGAAGACCGGCGCGCTGCACCGGTTCGACCTCCGGCTGGATGTGCCACTGAAGCTGGAGTGTCCGGAGCCCGCTCCGGCGGTAGAGGAGTAGGAAAGGAAGTAGGTACTTAAGTGGATCATGTGGGCACAAAGAATATCGTGGTCCTCGAAATTTTGGTACAGTAAAAGAAGGTAGCATGTTTGATGACGATCGTGACGAGAACACGACGCTCACGCTGGTGGTGCGGAGGTGTTTCTAATACGAAATAATCATGTAACCGTTTGCAAGTTCGTAGCGATTCCGAGCGCGACCTCTCCCGGTATGATGCTGATGTAGCATCATGATCATAAAAGGTATGACTAATATGGCTTCTCACGTAGTCACATTGCGACTGTGATTCTAAATTTTAAAGCTACTTCTAAGCACCCAACTTCAACAAGTTTTAGACAGTTATAACAAAAAGAACATCATCAATCATAGGCACTGAGAATACAGGTTTCGTTTCTGAATATTGATATTCGTGTATACCGACTCTATCACGAATTGACGCACAAAAAATGTCTTGTATACCCGTACTAGGTAAATAAGCCGAATAAGCTCGCAAGTATTTGAAACGTTTTTTAGAAAAAGCACAAACATTTTCGAATTTATTATTTCTTTTTTCTTTTTCGCATGCAATTACTTACGAAGACGAGCTGCAAATGAACAATTTATATGCGAAAGTTAATGTTTCATCTTCAGAGCTAGCATGTCCCAAGGACTGAATCTGACTCGGATAAGAAGAAAAAGAAAAACTAGAGTCATGTTTACTTTGGTGACTTCATGTACACAACATCACTGCGCGGACACCACGTATTATTGATATGGATGAAGAATCTTCATCGACCTTGGCAGGAACGGCCGAAGGGCTGAAGTAAATCGTTCGGCGCAGCTGTAGCTGAATAAACAAAGACAATTCATGACCTTGCAACGTTGTTTTCATATCTATGGCACGAATAAAATATAAATGAAGATGATGATCCTATGCGTGTCACTCGAACATATCGAGAAAAAATGCCGGGTGGCAAACGATCGAACGATCGAGCGCGGCCGAGCGACAACGATCGAACGATCTACACTTTCCCAACTCAACATCGCTCAGCAGTGTACAACAGAAGTGTTTTCTGTTTACTTTTTCGCTGCTCCACCCGTGGTTATTTTTCATATCAAAGCACATCAACTAGCTCGTTAAGAAGTAAACTCCTTTTTTTAAAATTTTGTTCCGCGAACGCGAAGACAAACTACGCCGTCGTTGAACCATTTCAGTATTTCAAGCAGTATCTGATAGCATTTTTGGTAAAAGGAACACAGCTCAGCAATTCAACGGAATCGACAGGTGGGCCTGGAAGGATCAAGACAAAGAAAATGATATACCCCAGCACCAGCGGCTTCCTCTGCCTGCTTGTGGTGCGGTGTGCTGTTTTTACCGGTCTGGCCGTTGTTGGCGTGTCGGGCAGCTCTATCGACGCATCCAGTTTTTTGAGTTCTACCGTGGTCCCTACTTCTGGCACGGAGGAGCATTCAGCTGCAGCTGCTTCTAGCGGTAGGACTACCGTCGGAAGCAGTAGTAGGGCGAGTTGTTCTACTTCCGGCGAAGATCATCCCCAAGGAGCAGGAGAAAAGCGCAAATTTGTTCAACTGAATTTCTTCAACCCCAGTACAACTAGACGAGACAGTGGAGAGGCGCGCAAAGCTACCTTTTTCGGCGCCGAAGTTGCAAGCGCCGAAGAGCGCGACAAGTTTGTCAACAACCTGCTTTGCGTCAAAGCTGGACCGCGGTTATTCTATGTGAGCCCAAAAGCCAGTCTAGTCTACGACGAAAAGCCTCCGAGTAAAGCAGGCTCGTCCCTGCCCAACGGAGATCGAGATGTTGTAGACGATGATATTCTGGAAGTGACGCAGAAGCAGATCGACTTTGTACGGGGCATGTTAGTAGATTTCGGGAATGACACAGTGTTACAAGAGGAAGCCAAGATAGCGCAGGAGCAAGAAGACCAAGATAAAATAAATCCAGCCGTGACTTCATCTACAGGTGCTGGCAGCGGGTCCTCGTGTACTAAGGGTCGAAAAATCCCAGCTGTTGTCGCTCGGTCGCCGTGGCTGAAGAAGGCACACGAGGAGAACTTGGAGAAAAAGAAAAAGAACGCATGTCGCTGTAAAATGCAGCAGCTGGACCTGGAACAGGGGTCTCAGTATCTCCTGCAGTTCGATGTACCTCCGCATGGGGCACCGTCGTCGACTCTTGTGTCGCATAAAAATTCCGGCGAGTTCTTGGAGCGTGCAATTTTGACTAATCCTTTCAAGGGAAAAGACAAAAACCTCCAAGTACACGAAAAAACGCTTCTTCTCAGCGAGTGGGTCGAGGAGCCGATAGCCGGCGAAAACGATGGACTTCCAAAAGGCATTTTGAAAATCGAAAAGGTTGCCGCAGCTGGAGAAAGGGGACAAGGGGCCGGGCTTCTCTTCATGCTCCGAATCATGAACTACGCTCTGCACAAGCCTGCGGAACACGTCGCCGCTGGGGACGACGAGACCGCGGACGACGAGAGGTTTCCTTTTCAAAGCAGAACGCGACGAGGAATTTCGGATCTACAACTAGACGCTGTGCGCGATGCCCATGTTTTCTGGGCCAAGATGGGCTTCGTGCCGGCGGACCAAAGCGATAGCGTTCGCTTCGTCAAAACCGTCCTCGTGCCCGCATTGGCGGCGTCTTGTTCCCTTTTGGAAAAACATAGAGATCGCGGCAGCCAGCTAATATGACACCCTCAGAATGGAAATCCTCAACGTGGAAATGATTTGTGATGCATGAAATGCGACACCAAAAAGACTGCATTGCAGCGAACGCAATGGAGGCCGACTATTGTGCTTCTACGGGTTCAGAATCGGGCTGCTGATTAGCAAGAGAGAAGGGCACCCCTTTGACTAACTAGCATGACAGACACGTTTTGAGTGCCCGGCAAATTTGTCATGCGCCGACTAGAAATGGTGCTCCAACTGGAGTCGCTTTTTTGCATTACAAATTATTTTCACTTTGAGGATTGCCAACCTGAGGCTTTCATAGCTAATGCGTATGTCGGAGGGAGGGTGGAGAGTGTGGAAAATCTTGGAGAAGGAGGCGAGGGAATATCAAATGTAAAAATGTCTGGGTCTGGAAGAATGCAACTTGTGATGCTGAGTTTGGATTCCAAAAAAATCTGTATTGCATGAGCAGCAAAGGGAGTGTAATTTTTGCTACGCGGAGAGGGCATTTGTCATGCGGAATAGGCATCGCGAGGGCCTCAAAAAATCTGTGATGCTAGGGCATGCATCACAGACATCATGGCCCAGGCAGAACCTGCATGACAAATCTCAAAATCTTCCAGACCCAGACATTTTTGCACTTGATAGGGAAATGCAAAGAGCAAAACCTACCGCCACGGAAGCGGAGCTCATTGGAAAGTTGAAAAGCATGGACGCGTACAAAGCGCTGTCTGAAAGTTTCGAGCATTACTGGGAGGACTTCCACATTGACGTCTCAGGACTCGTACACAGGCGAATCATAAGTAAAGAAAAAGAAGTATGGCATTCTCAAACGTTACATTCTCAACTGTTACATGAATTTGTAATGCAAGAGTGGCAAAATTGAAAAGGGGAAGATTGCGCCTTTTGCATTACAGGTTTGGCGTAGATTCCCATGCGATCTAGCAAGTCGCGAACTTGTCATGCGAAGCAGCTTGATCGTGTAGATATTCATGGCTAATTTGCATGACAAATCCATGTAACAGTTGAGAATGTAACGTTTGAGAACGCCATAAGAAGGAAGAGAACCTCGTCCCACCTGTAGTTCCCGCTGTGACTAGATATGCAACAAAAAAACTTTGTAAGTGTAAATCTGTGATGCAGAACATGCAACAGAGTTACACCTGTCATGCCAGACAACCACGAAGTCCTCTTTTCGTGTGTGCTTTCCCTTAGAAGCGACGCGTGAGAGGTTTTCTCTGTCATGTAGATGCTGTCAGCCAAAGAAAGTTACACTAGCACAGTTTTTTTCTTGGATATTTGACCAAGAAAGTGTACACGGACGGACGGGACCAGATGTGGCTCATATCCTGTGCAAAAGTATGGTGCTTGTATCATAAAATTAATCGCATGAGAAATTTCCTCAGCATGAGAAGTATAATGAAAATGTGTATATGCGGACCTACCTTGAGGAAGAGATTTGTCAAATGCGTTGCTCCTGCGATAATTAGTAGAACGAGCGCGGTGCTTTTGCAGTGCATAGCTCACAGCGACGGACAAGTTGTACCAGTATGACCCGGTGGGGAAGACGGTGAAGAACCAGTAAGGGTTATTTTTTACTTCTGCTCTGCTGTAGAGTGGCAGCTATGGAGAAGCTGAAGCAGATCTTTCGCTTTGTTCCGATGCACCAATAGAATTCCTGCTTGTTCGGTACGCGTATACTTGCTGCACAACATCAAATTATGGACGCAACTTGTATGGGCATGAAGTTGAAGTAGATGACGATTTTGATTTTCGCATGAAATTGAACTGTTACTAATCCACTCCGTTTTCAATACAGGCTTCCCTTCTACGACCAGAGCCTGTGGCAGACATCCCCGGCCCTGGAGGGCGACCCAGTGGATCTAGATTACGGGGCCGGCGCCGTGGCTCTGGGTGCGGAGGAGCGGCTGTACACCCTGAGCCGCTGGTATGGAAGCGTCAGGTCTGAAATCGACAAAGTTGAATGTTTTGTCATGCATAAAATGCAAGGCATGAAGTGCCTGTCTTGCCGGGATGGCACGCGAGGCCGAGTGTCAGCCTGTTTAGGGTTTGAAATAGAGCTGCTAAAGTAACATGACAAAAGCAGTCGTCTGTGCTGCTGCTGCCCAAACAGCATGACAAATTGGATTCCAGTGCTGCTCGGAAAATTTGTCATGCGCCGCTTGGAAATTGGGCTTCCAACTGGTATCGATTTTATGCATTGCAAGTTGTTTCAACTTTGAAGGAAGAGAACCTCGTCCCACCTGTAGTTCCCGCTGTGACTAGTCCTAGACTTTGCCCAAACAGCATAACAGACTGGATTTGGGTGCTCCCGAAATTTGTCATGCGCCACTTGGAAACTGAGGCTCCAACTGGCATCGATATTGTGCATCACAAATTTTTCGACTT